TGGGCTACCAAGTGAGTTCCAGGAAAAGGCACAAAGCTACACAGAGAAACCCTGTCTCGAAAAAAAAAAAGAAAGAAAGAAAGAAAGAGAGAGAGAGAGAGAGAGAGAGAGAGAGAGAGAGAGAGAGAGAAAGAAAGAAAGAAAGAAAGAAAGAAAGAAAGAAAGAAAGAAAGAAAGAAAGAAAGAAAGAAAGAAAGAGGACGCTTTGCAGCATGCTGTGAGACTGTGAACCCATTACTGCCCATGATTGAAGTCTCCAGCCAAGCTCATGGTACCTCTCTAGCTGACCCTAGTCCAGCCGGAGCAGCTCACAATGGACCTATTCTAAAACTACAGCAAGCAGAAAAAAAAAAAAAAAAAAAGGAAATGGAGGGTGGCATTAACCATTTCCCTGTGTAGGCAACCCTCACTATATCCCATGATCAATGCGCCCAGAGTGTGAGGAGGGTAGGGGAGGTCCTGGGGCCTCTGCAGCTCAGAGAAATGAGTCTCTGGAAGTGTGATTCCACTGTGCAGTGAAACATACATCTTAGGCCGCCTGGTCCCCACAGGCACAGCGGACACACGTCATCTGGCGTTCGGCTGTGGAAGCTGTTAGCCATTTCAAAGCTGCCGAGGAGCTGACATACTGGACATCTTGAGAGATTTGCTTCCAGCATGGTGCATTTCTGGGTGCTCAGCGTCACATGTGTCCTCAGCTAAACCCAGAACGCTTTACTCCCCAGCTTTGCTACTGCCAATTCCTTTCCGGGTGTGATGTGGTTTCCAACCCCCCTCCCCCCCATCTTTCACCTGCCCTAGCGCCCGCCCCCAGAGTCCTGTGCTTGGCTGGCTACTCCTTTGATGACTTGTCATTTCCCACTGTAGAAGGTCTTCACGTCATGCTTTACAGCAGTTATTCAAACGTGGTTACTAACCTCCTCGCAACCTCTAGCCAGGTATCCCATGTTAAAAGCATCGGTTAGACTCCTGACCCCGCTGCCCGACAACGCTAGGCCCATACCGTGACTAGAGGGAGAGAACACAGAAGTCCCGTTCATGATAGGTGTGACCAAGTGGGTAGGTGAAGTGTGACTCACAAATGCCGGCGGGAGGAAAAGAACCCCAAGCTCGTAGGAGCGGATCATCAGCTGGGTGCCGTTCTTCTCCAGTGCTCCCCAGGCGGCCTTGGACAGATTCGCGCTGTGGAGACAAGGACACAGAAGGGGCTGTCTCAGTGTGGCATCTCTGTGTGGGTCAGATGGACACAGCTGCGAGAGCATTGGTCAAAAAATGCACAGCCGCAATCAGGTTGATTCAGTTTCGAGCAAAACTGCGGCACTGAAAAGGAAGTTGAAGTCCCACTGTGCTGCAGTTCTCAGGATTTATCTAATTGCTAATTAGGGATAGCTTCACCCTCATTTGCCCCACACCAGGGCAGTTATTAAAATGATCATCTTCCTTAGAAGTATTTTTTTTCCATGTCCAAACTCCCTCTTTTTATAGTCCTGGTATTGCCACGTCTTCCAATTTTGTTGTACATAGAAGCAGCACTTAAGAAAAATCTGTGGGGCTGGAGACACGGCTCAGTGGCTAAGTGTGTGAGTCAGTGAGGATCTTGCAGAGGACCAGAGTTAGGTTTCCAGCACCCATGTAGTTCCCGAGTGCCTGTAACTCCAGATCCAGACGATCCAATGCCCTCTTCTGGCCTCCAAGGGTACTGCACCCGTTTGTGCACAAATCCATACACAGACACAACCACATAACTGAAAATCATGAAAATAAATCTTCAAAAACAAAAACCTTTTAAAGGAAAACTTAATAGTATCATATACATGTCGCCACTTTCTGTCTTTTTTGGGGGAGGGACAACTGAAGCTAATTGCTACTTTCGCTTTGAAGAAAGCAGCTCTGGGGCCACCAGCCTGGTGCTTGCCGTCAGAATGAGACGGCTCCTCTAGAATTGTGTTTAATATAGACAAAGAACTGTGGGTATGGCTTTAAAAAAAATAATCCCAGCACAGCAGGAGGAAGGAGACCTGGAATAGACACAAAGGAAGTGCCAAGATCACTTTGGTTCTCATTTCTACACGGATGCTTAAGAAGCTGACTTCACAGAAGTGGAGAGGAGTGCAGCAGTGGCTGGGGGCGGGGCTTAGGGAGGGCAGAGGGTGGCCAGATAACTGAGTCCTGGTGTGCCGCACTCAGTGGCCAGGGCTAGAAATAATCCCTTATACATTTATTTATCTAAGGCGGGCAGGCTTTATTGTGGCTCATAGTTTGAGGGTACAGTCTGTTATGGCTTGGCAGTGACTGTGGCTGTGGCAGCTGGACACTGTGTCCATAGTTCAGAGGCAGAGAGGGATGAAGGCTGGGCCACGGGAGGACCACATTCAAGGTGAGCCTTCCCTGTTCAGCGAAACCTTCTGGAAACATCCTCACAGTCATGCCCGGAGATTTGTCTTCTAAATAGTTCTAAATCTTGACAATCAAAACTGACCGTGTGTGTGTGTGTGTGTGTGTGTGTGTGTGTGTGTGTGTGTGTGTGTGTGTAATTTGAAGGGGAAAAATGGGGCAGGGGGTCAGAACTAACTGGGGAGAAGGGAGGGAGGAGAGAGGGTAATACAGAGGGAAGAAGAAATGACATTAAATGTATTTGAAAAAGCTATAGGGAAACCTTTTCTAAGCTACATATACTCTCCCCACACAAAGGATGCTCCCCAGGAGCCATGGACTATCTAACAAAACTCCAGTGCCAGGAAGGGGATATTTCCCTTTATGTTGTCGGTCAGAAGGGTCCACAATCACCCCTCCAAAACACACACACACACACACACACACACACACACACACACACACACACACACACTACAGGCTATTGCTACTGCCCTTGGCTACCTCCCAGAAATTAAAGCTCTATTGCTGACGACACTACACACCTCAGTGGCAGAACTTGAAGGAATCCTGTTGGTTCTGACCTGGAAGCCTCCCTCTCCTCGAGGACCAGCACTTAGAGTATCTGAAGGTGCAATGTGAGCTGCCAAGCGAATAGTGATCAACAGCCCTACCCAGCTGCAGATCCTGGGAACTTGTCACCCATTTTAAGAAGGGCTAAGTGACAGGAGTTGTAGAGACACGAAGAGACGCGTGTTTACAGAGATGGAAATGGTTTTTATTTTGACTTGATCACTGCACACTGTATTCCCCACAAATGTGTGCAACTTTAGGAAAATTGCTGTTAATAAGAGGAACCTACTGCATAGACTTAAAAAAATCAGCTAGGTTTGCCCAAATTCTGTTTCTCTTTCAAGATGAATATTAGGAGCTGGGTGTGATGGTGCATGTGTGTAACCCCAGGACTCTGGATGTGGAGGTGGGAAGATCAGGAGTCCAAGGCCAGCCTGGGCTACATAAAACTTCCCCTCAAAGAACAGACCTCCCTGCCTTCTCAAGCAGTTGGACCTCACTGGGGATAGGGAGCCCGTGACACACAAGGTCACAGAGAAACATAACTGAGGGAGAAAGAGAGGTATCACTTCGGGAGAACATTTTTTTTTTTTTTTGAAAGACAGCTAGGATTTAGGTTCCTCACCTGTCAGGGATAAATGGCGTCGTCCCTGTGCTAAGGCAAAGGTCTAGTGGTAAAAATCAACCAGCAGGCTGAGGTGGAGGCTGTCTTCTCAAAGTTTTTCTCCCTTTCTAGGTCTCTGCCTTCTGGGTAACACCCTTGAATGTCAGCACCATGAGACCCGAGCCAAACGTGACCTGGGAAAGGCTTCCCATCCTTCCCACATTGACTGTGTTCCCTCACATCCCGTGAGTTGAGGGTTTCTCCACAGCGGGGACAAATGGAGACCACAGGGACCCTCTTGCAGATGGCTGCCTCCTACCCTGCTTTTGTCTTTGCTTCTAGCAAAATTCCAAGGATCTGCAGCCTTCAAAATTCTACCCCGAGCACTGGGAGACTTGAAAGACACTCGTAGGTTGTCTAGGTGACAAATCAACATTCCTTGAAATGTCATCTTTAATAATTTCTTACATTATGAGTAATGCTTTGAATCACTGGCACCCAGGGCAGCCAGGAAGACTGGGAATGTATTTCCAAACTCTCATGCTGTCTGCTCTGGGTGTGGGTGGTCTAGAAGCCACCAGTGTCTTCTACAGGGCAAAGTAACGCCTTGAGGCTCATGCAAAGGTCGTGTGTTCCTGGAACTCTGAAGGCCTTCCAGCTGCTCTTGATTCTGTCACAGCTTCTCAGGGGTGGCTGCTCACTATAGGCTTGATCCCAGTCCACAAAAGAAAAATTTGTATTAACTCTTGAAGAATAAATTTATATTATCTACCATAGGAGTTTCTAAATGAATTCCCAGGAGATTGTTAAGGTATGCATGGAATCCACCAGGCACACATGGGATAGTATGTTAGGTACCTGGAGAGCAAAGGCAGGCAAACGTTGAGAGAAGAACCCCATAGCTGGAGCACATTGTTTTATCTCTACTTCCGTACTAACAGTGACTCCCTAAGCACTTTCTATTCTCCTTTGCTTTAGGCTCTTGTCTCTAGAGTGGGTGTGCATGGGGACAGGGTAGTCTTTGAGACCAAAATACTTTCTCAGACCAGATTTTCCAAGCCACCCTCTGCACATCTATTTGGGGGGCTCCCCTGTCACCCCAAAGAGAAAAATTCCTAGTTTCCACTGGAAGCCTCCTACCAAGAGCACGTATATGAAAGAGAGCTCATGGTAATCTGTTGGAAACGGCTATTCAAGAGAAGGGAGCCCATGAGGATGGCCTCAAGATCACACCTTACTCCATGAATCTTTCAGAGTCTAAGCACTGGTGATGGAGGTAGCTGTCATGGCCAGCGCTGAGCATCATTAGAGCTGCTGATGGGCTTGACTGTTAAGAGATCGTTAAAAGTGTATGTGTCCTCCAGGGTGACTGCTGTTACAGGGACACATGTTGGCGGATGAAGCCTTTCTTTGCATCCTAACTATTCAACAGTCTAGGCAGCAGCTGCACAAAGAGAAGACATGGTTTACAGACCGAAGCTTGTGCCACCGGAGTGTCAGAGGTAGGGGACCGACACTGGCCTGGACAGATGTCACAGCGTTAACCGTGAATGCTGAAGAAGATCATACCGAGCAGCTGCAGTGAGGAGCGAATGACAGACCACAGCCGCTGCTGCTGACACCTGTTCCCGAATGCCCCCAGGAGCATGCCTTCCTCAAACACACACAGGCAGTACATGCTGCCTTTCTTCTATGCTGGCTCTAGGCTTCTCTGTACTGCCCTTGGGCTCTGTTTCTCTCTATGGACTGCAACAATGCGTCACGAAAGAGGAAAAAACAGCCTCACTGTAAAGGAAAAGAAAGTCTCACACTGTAAATGATTCATGTTGTATTTCAGTACGCATAAGAAGCTAGAATTCAGAGACTGTGAAATCCCTATAAAACATCTTTGCCTACATAGATCACCACTCAAAGTATACAACAGCACTATCTTCTTGGGCCACTGAGAACACCGGGTAGATATCTAGGACAATTCTGCATTCTAATAGACACAATACATCTTTAACTATGATTGCTCTGATTAGAAGTGGTGTTCAGCATGTTCAGCCTAATCATATCTATGTTTAATTCTGTGAAATTGTGTTTCAAAATTATGCCTTTCTTCTTTTGATTATTTTAATTCGAAGTGTCTTTTACAATGGAGCCTATTTCCTGGGCTGATGGTGCTATTCTGCAGGCAATAGAGACCTCAGGAGATGAGGCCTGGCTGGAAGAAGCCAGGCATTAGGAGCAGGGGGCATCTTGTCCCTGTTTCCTCTATGTCTCTTTCTATACCTGGTCCTCCCTGTAGTAAGAAGCCTCTGCCACATGTTCCCACCACAATGTTCTGCCTCACCATGGCCCTGGAGCCAGCTGGGCCAAGGACTACGGAGTGGACTGCCACCTCTGATATGGTTCACCAAAACTCAATCCTTCCTGCGGGCTGCTTTTCTCCGGTATCGGGCACAGTGATGGAGGGTTTGACTAATGCATGCAGCATCCTTTGGTTTATTACTGCTCTAACAGATGGCATAAGGTCCATGCCTTCAAGTAACAAAATTACTATCTTGTGCTCCTGGTGATGAGGAGTTCAAAATGGGTCACACTGAGCTACAATCTAGGTATTGGTAGGGTCTTAAAATCCCCCTGGAGG